TCGGAAAGGAACAGGCACCCTTCTTTGCGCAGCCGAGGTGAACGACTGCTATCTAGTTTATCCGCAATGCTAAACTACCTCTGTAGCCCCAGCTTCTGTTGGCCAGAGTCTGTGTATCCCGCTAAACTACCTATCGTGGCTACAGCGACTGAGGGCCTCTAATGGCCTGGGTCTATGCAATCATCTAAACTGACCCCCATTGCTATTCAAATGAACCAAATCTATGTATGCGTTCTCCTAAACTAGCCTCGTGGTCCCACCTGCCAAGAGGTCCTCTGATGGCCCAGTTTATAACTACCGCCAAGGGGCATCTGCCCCTTTTGAAAACAGAAAGGGCTTTTATAACACCAGACATTTACCATTTTGAACAGTCAATATAAAAGTCTGCCGGGTAAAATGTACTTGAGCGATTTAGACACCAGTAGGATAGGCCTATTCTCAGTCTTAATTTAGTACTGAGTTGAACCACAGTTGGCCCTGGCACAACCTAACGCCCTGCCCTCACCCAAACCTCATCCAAGAGATTTTTTGGGAGGGAAAATCCAGGAGAGTGGCTGCCTCTGCAGAGGACAGCCAGGCAGCCGACAGCCACAAGCTGAACAGACATGGGGTTTACATAGGGTTTCTTAAAGTGTGGAGTTTCTCCAGGGAGATTTCCAGGGTAGGGATTGGTAAATTTTCGATCCCTGAGCTCAGAATGGCTAGATCCCCTGCTCAGGATTGGTTAGTTTTCTGTACAGGTTTACAGTCAGATTTGGTTCTGGTTTCAGGGCCAAAGTGTGTTTTTTTCACTGGTCCTTTTTAGCCTTTGGCTTTAATTTCAGGACCAGGGTGCATTTTTTTTGGCTCTGCTCAGGGTATGTTTCTTTAGCTGGCCCTTTTTCCTTACACTCTTTTGCCTTGTTCCTCAGGTGCTTAGTCAGAAAGGGCAGTTTGGAGGTGAGAGAGATGACTTGGACATCAAGAGTTCACATAAGCCAGGTATGCTGGTGCACACTTTTAATCCCAGCACTCAGGAGGCATAGGTAGGTGGATCTCTTGAGTTTGGGGCCAGCCTGGTCTACAGAGTGAGTTCTGGGACAGCCAGAGCTACACAGTTAAACCCTGTCTCAAAATACTGGGGGAAAAGGAAAAAGCAAAACCAAAAATACATGTAAGAGGACCCAAGTTTAGAGTCAGCACTCATATCGGGCAGCTCACAACCACATGTAACTTCAGCTTCAGGGGGATCTTATGTTTTTTGGCCTCTGTGGGCACCTGTACTCATAGGCATACCCACACAGACACACACAAATTTTACAAGGGCAATCTTGAGGCAGATGTGTGGTCTGTGGATGAGCTCTACACCTTGAAAACAGTATACTACATGGTATGTCCCATGCAGGGCCCATCATGCAGGAGATGCTATGTAGAGACCCTACTGTTTGCCTACTCTCAAGAACTTCCGTCTTGCTCTCTGCCTGCAGTACTCCCTACTACTTCACCACTCTCCCAAGGGTGTCAGTCACTCTGCTGCCTGGATCCCAGTAACTAAAAACCTCCTGCTGGAGGAAACAGGAAAAATGAGGAACAGTAAGTTAATGGTATAAAGGATCTGTTAAACTGCTTAGGAAATACTAAGTTATATTCAGTAGACTTTAACTAAAGGAGTGCTCAAGGCTGAGCAGTGTGGGGAAACGTTTGCACCTTGAACATAATTACAGTTGAGGTTTGCTGAGTGTTTCTATTTGTTCACTAAGATTGCCACTTATTAGGGCCATAACAAAACACTGCGGCTCGAGGCTATCAGGAACATTCAAAGAACATGCCTCTGTTGGACGGTCCAAACGGACAGCGCTGGATCCCAGCGCCACTGAATCCCGGTTCTCATTAACTAGGTTCTCTTACCCAGGAGAGCAATTTTCTGCCAAGCAGACAGGATGGTCCTGGTTAACAGCAGCCTAGGGGCTGTCTCAGGAGAACTGACAAATACTTCATTGTACTGTATTACTTACTATATTGTAAATCTCCCCATTCATCAGAACAGCCAAACTCTGGAACTGAAGTGTAACTGTGGGTCCAGAAAATCCTGAAGCTGATGGGGCTTTGTGTCCCGGGCTGGTTCCTTTTTGTGCAGTAGCCAGAACAAGACACATGCTATTATTAAAGAGTTTCCTTTATTAATCTCTAAGTGCTGGAGTGACTTCCCACTGGGAAGGCGTATTGAGTCCATAGTATGTTGTTTATGTAGTGTTGGATGTTATAATGTTGAGAGGCCTTCAGATGACAAAGGACTTGTACTGTTACATGTGAACGCTCTTTCATTTGATTCAAGGAACTTCAGCATCAGCAGATTTTGGTGTCCATGGGGCTCTCAGGACTGATTCTACACAGACATCAAGGGATAACTGCTTAATTACCATATGACCACACAGCTGCCAGGGCTGTCACTGTTCAGTACTGAGAGTGTTGAAACTGTCTCTCCTGGAAAGACATCAAAACTCAAAACACACAGGAGGCACTGTCAGTCCTAAGTCAGAGACTGTATCAAGCTCAGTGGGGTTAGATAGGAGTAGAGGCTGAGGGCACAGGCCATCTGGTCTGAGAAGCCACCACCAAGCCTCTAGATCTCATATATAGAGAAATTTTACATCACTGAGGTAAGCAAAACAAAAATGGCTGGAGAGATAGTTCAGTGGTTAAAAGCACTTACTGCTTTTGCAGAGGACTTGAGTTCAGTTCCCAGCACCCAAATCAGATAGCTCACAACTACCTGTAACTCCAGTCCAGAAATCAGACTCTCTTTCTGGTCTTTGTAGGCACCTGCATGTGTGGCATACATTCACAAAGATACACAGATACAAAGAAAAATAAAATCTTAAGGGCTGGAGAGACAGCTCAGGGACCCAGGTTTGATCCCCATTACCCACATAGTAGCTCATAACCGTGTATAACTCCAGTTCCAGGGTATCTGATGCCTTCTGGCCTCCAAGGGCATCTGCATGCATGTGGGGCAGATGAACTCACACACACACACTCACTCACACACATACAAAAAAAAAATCTTAAACTTCAGAACTTTATCTGTTCTATTTTTCCTTCCCACCTTTTAAAACCTACTACAACTGGTTTTGTACCCACCACAAAACTGAAATGGCTCATGATGAGTCACCCCGCCATCTCCACTGCCAAGTTCATAACCCATCCTCACCTACTCAGCCATCAGAGGATAACAGCAAGATCCCTTGGGTGCTCTGCAGGCAGTAGGCACACTGGTGTGTGACCTGTTGTTTAATCGATGACAATCATAGGTGCTGACAAGTCAACATCTGTTCATTTTGGGGGGGGGCACTTTTCCTGGCAGTGACATCTTCTGAAGGAAACAGTGATGCTTTTATTGTTACATTTCAATTCACAGAATAAGTTACAAAGGCTCAAGTTCAGGGCTCCTCCTTCCTTGGTAAAAACAAAACAAAACATGTCCACAGGAGAGGAGTAACTCTCAGCAGAGGGACTGAGTATGAAAGCTAGGAAGCCTAAGGATGCCTGATTTGGGTCTTTTTCTGGAGCTATGATCACCAACTCTGAGTCTGCACCAACAATCAAGTTCTAGCTGAGTCCTGCTGAGGGGCCATCACTGACATGGCCCTCTTTTTATCACACAGCAAGGACTCCACACTTTGCCTGGCAAGTCTGAATAATGGACCACAGGACTGTACACAGACAGAACTGACAGTGTGTTCCTGGTGTGATTTTTGTTTCCTGAACCATGGTTTCACTACGTGGCTCATGATGGCCTTGAACTGCTGAGTCTCCTGCCTCTGCGCCCCCCACCCTCATGGGATCATGCCTGATGTTTCAAGTGGCGTTGCTGTTACTTATCACATATTCACCCAAGTTCTCACAGAAGTCTCCACCATGTTCTTCTGCCACAATCTCCAAGCATGGAGTTCTGGACATGTTTTGAAGACATAACTGAAGACAGGAAGAACTTCAGAATCTAACCACTGATCTTCCAGATCCCAGTCACAGCTAGAAATGCTGCAGGTGATACTGTGTGTTCAACATTACAGTGCACTTGGGCCAACAGGTGATGGAATGCCGCCACATAAAATAATTCCACCAAGTCCTAGCACTTCACCCATTTTCATTTCACGGCATCAACACCACAACGTTAAGTGCCACATTCCTCCGCTCTACCACCTACTATCATCCACAATATCATGACTTATGGTTTCCCAAGTGCCAGCTACAAAACCCTTACAAGTGTTTGGTTTTATGAGACTGAACTAAACACAGTAAGTTTCAATGCTCACCCATATTGTGGGAGTTTGTGTAAATTATTTTCACGTCAATAAAAGCATTTGCTATAATGTACACACTCTATTACACAGGCCAAAAATGAGCTTCTAACATCAATTCCACAATACCTCATACCACACACAAAAGTTGCTCATATTTTAACCACTATTCCACAAACACTTGATTTTTATCAACAATGCTCCTGGGATGATACTGGATTACATAGAAAAGTGTATGAAAACCAGCTGTAAGCATCTCTGAAGGGGTCAGTTACAACATGGATGTACTGAGAATCACTACTTAGCCACAACAATTAACTTAGAAATCAAAAGATAACCCATTACATATCCCAATCTAGGAATGAAACCTTCCCACAGGGTAGAAAGACAGCAATACTCAAAGGAAGCAGCGTCGACAGAGTGAGCCCATGACAGGGTTGGGCAGGATTTTACCATGTGGAAAGGAGTAACCCGGGCTTTTTATATGGTAAGGCTCCCCATTACCTTGTCCTGACAAAGTCTCTATCAAAGTCGCATCAGTAACATTGCTCAGACACACATAGCACATGGCACACACGTGGTTCTCGGGGGACGGAAGGGAAAGGCAGTGCGCACACACATGCCCTCACGTGGAGCTATGTTGATGTGACACACATGTCTACTTGCACTCACAGTTCACAGTTAGGAAATAACACTTTTCTATTGTCTTCCCGATGAACATTATTATTATTTGAGACAGGTTTTAATTATGTATCCTTGGCTGACCAGAAACTCCCTATAAAGCCCAGACAAACTCAGAGAGATCCACTTGTCTCTACCTCCTGATTGCTGGGATTAAAAAGACATGAGCCACCACGCCCAGCATGATGAACATTTGAAACATAATCACCTATAAGAGGGTAAAAGGTGATTTCCCTTAAAGAAACTGGCCAGTCACATTCTAAGCGCTAGGGAAGCCTTCCATTCTGTTCTCAGGCTTCGTGGCTGTGTGCCCTGGGCCACCCATGTGGTCCCTGAGGTTTTCTCACAGACTGAAAGTCGGCCTCGTGAAAGATGGCAACACACTAGGTACTCAGTAAGAGACAATACGCAGGTGAACTAAATGTGTTTTCCAAATGCCGGAATACTGCAGGATACTGTGGCTGGGCCAAGCGTCTCCCGAGCTTCCGGATTCAGGCTTGGCAGGATAAGTCCTCATACCGTAGAGAGCGGTTGAGAAGGTTTGCTCCCCAAACCCAGAGCCACTCGGGCATATACTGTGCGAAAAGAAACTACAAATGAAAGAGAGAGAGAGAGAGAGAGAGTGAGAGAGAGGTGGTTAGAATCCCAAACCATCAAAGCTGAAGATATAAGGGTACAGATCAGTGTTGGACCTAACCCTGTTAACAGACATATGCTGACCACATTAAACAAGAGAGCCCCTTCCATACTCAGGGTTATGTCCGCACAGGGCACTCACCTCAATTCATTCAAAGTAGCACAAGGACAGGATGCCCCATCGTGATGCCCAGCATTGGCGCCCATTCCCTTTCTGCTCCTAGGAACACACGTCCTAAGTGAAACATACTAACTCCAAGGAGGAGCTACAGCTGGACCTCACTGAACAGGTTTCACCAAACTCCAAAGAGGAGCTACAGCTGTACCAGTCAAGTGCTGGCTCCCTGGCAGCTGTCTGTGGGAGCGAAGGGAAGAGGAGTGACGAACTTTATCCTCAGGGTGCAGACATGCAGCACTAGAGCCTCAAAGGCACAGTCCTGAGTCAGGGTATCTTCACAATGGCCTTTCCTTAAGTTTGAGCTGTACTTTATGATGAAAGCTAAGTGTGCCCAGAGCATCCCTGTCCATCACGTTAACCTGTAACCTTAACCTGAGCATGAACCAACTCTATATGAGTATGTGTAGCCTTTCTGAATAAACCCCTACGCTCTTAGTTATGGGAGACATTGCTCCAGAGACAATGCCTACACTCTTCTTGCCCTCTGCAGGTCAATCTTTATCCACACCTGCATCTTGGATACGTTACTTTGGGCTTTGCACTCCATTAGACAGGGAAGGTCTGAACCACTCTGAGCTGGGGAGGTGACAGTCCCCAAATGAAGTCAAAGTTTGGGAAGCAGAGGAACACAGGAAGAGGTTTCAGGCTCTTTAAACTCTTTGGAGTTTGAGTCATGTCAGAGGTGCTGACCCATCCAGGCTTAAGAAAGCAGTGATCCTGGGGCAGCAAAAACCCAATGGTAGCCCTTAAAGTGATGAAGTTCAGAAAGTCACCAGAAGGCACTGGCACTCTCTCTCCCTCCCTCCATCTATTTTAAACTTTTTCTATTTTGAGATAAAGTCTTGATAAGTTGCTCAAGCTGGCCTTGAACTCACTCCATAGCTCAGGCAGGCTCTGCAATCCTTCTGCCTCATCATCCAAAGCAGCCAGGATTACCAGCTTGCACCTAGGTGAAGAATACATTCTAGAGAGTGTTCATTAATGTGGACCAAATTCACCTGAGATTAAGATGTTGGTGTTTCACAGACATGGTTAAAATACCTGGTTATCACTTGTCCTCGAAGCTGCATCTCTAAGAGGACTTCAAGGCCTTGGAGCCACTTTTCACTTCTCACTACATAGGCCAGGCTGACCCTAAGTTGATATCCTTCTGCCTCAAACTCTTGACTATTGAAGAGAAGGCTGGGCTATCATAGTCATCCTTAAACTACTTTTCAGGTTTCTCTGCTTAGCTCTCAAGTAAGTACAGACTCAGAGCAGCTAGTAAGACAGCTGTTTTTGACAAACCTATAGCTCTGAGTCTATAGACAAGAGTTACCTGCTGATTTGCTCACATTTATTTTGTGGTGGTAAACTAAATTATCTTTATGCACAACAGCCCCCAAAGTATTTAACTGGTAATCAGAAATGCCCAGTAAATTCTAATCTGGGAACATCTATTTCTATTCCAGATAATGAGAAAAAAATTATTATACATCATTTAGTTACTGCCCTAGTGATTAAAAAATCACAATTTTAAATATTCCATGAAGTTCAAATACTTTTCTCTTTTGATTTTTGTGTATCAACTTTGACTGTCCTAGAACTCATTTTGCAGACCAGGCTGGATTTGAACTCACAGAGATCTGCCTGCTTGTGCCTCCTGAGTGCTGGGGTTAAAGGCGTATGCCAACACACCCAACAGTTCAATATTTCTCAAGATATTTGTATTACACTTATTTGTGTGTACATGTATGCCACAGTGTTTGTAGAGCTCTGTGGACAACTCGTGGGAGGCAGCACTCTCCTTCCAGGACATGGGTTTTGGAGATCAGACTCAGGTAATCAGGCCTGGTGGCAAGTACCTTTACCTGCTGAGCCATCTAGATGGCCCCAAAATACTCTCTAAAAAAAATCTTTGCTTTGTCTGAACAACAACAACAAAACAAAATCTTAGGAAAAATTCTAGGTTTCCTGAGTAAAGGAATCCAAGAATACATGAAAATTTATTTGACATGATGGTTATGTGCTCATGGCCCTAATTAGGGGTTTTCTGAACTGGGCTGTGCACATAGCCTTTCCCCTTCAGACATCACCAAATGAACTCCCTATTCTCTGTACTGAAACCCCTACTCAAGCACCCAGTATGCTCACATTCACACACACATACACACACACACACACACACACACACACACACACACACACACACAA